GAGGAGAAGGGATTGTGGCGTGGCCATCCCTCCTGGAGGGTGACTTCTCACTTTCTGTCTCTCTGTCTCTTTCTAGCTGCCTATCTGGCAAGTGCACTTGCCCTATAAAAAACAAAAATTCTCAAAAAAAAAGAACACAAATAAGCAAAATGTGCTTCTGTCAAAGCAATACAGGAAATGCTGTGACATTTAGAAATACTGAGTGCTGAACCCAGAAACATTTAGAAACATGAGGATTTATGATGATTTACTAGGATGTGGATTCCAGTTAAGATAACCTAAGGGATTCTTATATATGTGACTATATATATATACATATGTACATACCATATAGATTATATTTTATGTATTACCCATCTTATATAATACATACCCATGTACATATAGTCACCTATGTAATAATGTCAATAATTCTGTCATCATAAGAACACAACTTAAAAAAAAAAAGGAACACAACTTAAAAGAGTTAGGTGGAGAATCTACAAGTTAGATAATTTTTTGAGAGGCTTTTGCTATAGGGCTCATGTGTTCCCCCAGAGAGACAGAAAGCAAGAAATCACCCCCTAGGGAAATGGACACACCATAGTCCTTCTCCTCTTAGAATTTTGGGCATCCATGCCCATGCACCTGGTGTGACTTTTAAGCCACCAGGTCCAGGACTCAAACCACTGTTGACTACCTGGGAGTCCAGTGCCTTAACCACCATGCCAACTGCTGGCCCTCACATTACATAGATTTACAGCACGTGTCTACAAGTCGTGATGAATAGTATGACAGGAAAATAGTAGGAATACGAAGGACCACCAAATATGTACTTAGAGGCAGACTAGAAATCAACTAAGATATTGCATACCAAACCTCTTTATAAATGGAAGCAGCAAGGTTTCTTTTCTTCCCCTCCCTCCTTAATTTTGCAGGGGCAGGGACCAGCGGTTAACATAATGGCTATGTCGCTGGACTCCCATGTAGTCGAAGAGAATAGAGGGGAAGGGATTGCGGCATGGCCATCCCCCCTGGGGGGTGATTTCTCACTTTCTGTCTCTCTGTCTGGCGAGCACACGCGCCCTATAGCAAAAACCTCTCAAAAAAAAACCTCACGCCTGGTGCGTGTGCGTGCATGCCCAAGATCCCAGAGGAGAATGGAAGAGAAGGGATTGTGGCATGGCCATCCCCCCTGGGGAGTGATTTCTCACTTTCCGTCTCTCTGTTTCTCTCTGTCTGGCTAGCGCAAGTGCCCTATAGCAAAAACCTCTCCAAAAAAAAAAAAAAAAAATTTGCAGGGGCCACATGTGCTCACTAGAGGCACAAAAATGAAAAGAGGGAAAGTGAGAACATATCCCCTCTAATGGGGCGTGGTCTTGTCACAATCCTTTCTCTTCCATTTCTCCCTCTTCAGGATTTTGGACACACATGTACACGCTCCTGGCATTTTGGGTTTTTTTTTTTTTTTTTTTTTTTTTTTAACCCCCAAGCCCCCAGGTCCAGGGCTCAAACCAAGCAGTAGGCCATGTGGAATCCAGCTGGCTTAACCACTAGGCAGTGGGTCCCACCTGAAACAAGGTGTCTTCATGGGTGTGATTAAAATTCAGTTTGCACAGAACAGAAGGCCTATAGTTGAGGAAACGTCACGGTCGGAGGGCACACGTTTCCAGAGCACCACCCAGCAGTCCTCTCCTTCGAGGTGCAGACCCCAGGGCTGGGACTCGGCCTCCTTCCTCTAGACCCACTCCCTAGCGCGTCTCACCCTGCCCAGGCCGTTAGAGGCCTCTATAATGACCCTCAAATCCACCGGCTCTCTAAGCACTGATGCTCCAGAAGGCCACATCCCCACGTACACACTCGACACCCCTAGAAACGAGCTGAGCGGACTCAGGCAGCTCT